AGCAGGGATTGCCTCACTGTTCCAGGTTACAGTGTCAGATATAACCAAAAGTGTTTTCAGTCCCCATCTCCATAAACTGTTATCAACAGGTGGGGCAGTGTTCTTTATCTCTTCCATGGCTCAGCCCTGATAACGCCCTCCAGGGCCATCTTCTGTTAATGGGCCATTGAGTGTCACTGCAGCACTGATAGAATTACAAGATCCCATTGTGGGATGCTCCGCCCAGGGGGAGGAACCAAGCTTTCCTACGTGGATATAATCTCACCCTTGCAACACCATGACCACCTTGCCTACTGCATTCCCATAGGACAAGAGCTCCATAAGCATCACTGGACATTCAGAGGAAGACCAGACTGTTCTACAGGATCACTGCTTTGACAGAATCACGTTTATCACTCCAGACGGACTGCAGCCACCAGTTCATCAGACTGCTACCACTACCCTGAGCAACGGGTGTCAAGTTATATCCTGACTCTGTGAGTTTAAACCAGTGTTTCTGTATCACTGCTTTGATCTTAATTTTCTTATTCAATTGTCATTCTGGCTTAGACTCTCCCCCTGGTTTGCTTTGAAGCCAGTACAAAACTCACTGTGCTCATCACTTGTTTTCCTCCCAAAACAGGATTTCCCATACCCAAACGTTCACCACATGGAGAAGGTTGTGAGGAAGAGGAAGATGCCTCAGGACCCCCAAGAAGGTGAGGAGGAAGTCAGTGCCCCTTTCCCCCTCTCTCCTGCTCCATCTCCCAGCACAGCCCCCGGCTGCAGGACAGCCCCGCTGCCGGTGCCCTCCTGCTGGGGATGCCCTGGGGGGATCTCCTTGCCCTTCCCTCTGGCATGGAGGAAAATCCCATCCTCTCCTTGTCCTTCCTCCCCCAGAGCAGGAGCTGAGGATGGAGATCAGGAAGGATAAATCCCTGCAGCAGAACCTTATGGAAGAAGCTGTTTTAAGCAACTCCACAGCACAGGAATCCAACAGGGAGGAAAATCCCCAGCGACACCACAGGAGGAGGGGCTGCAAGCCCAGCCCAGGATGCTCTGAGGAGGAAAGACCCACTCTGGGCCAGGAAGGTGGACAGAGCTTCAGCCAGAGCTCCAGGCAGAGCTGGGAGCTGGTTGTCCCTGAGCAGCATCATGATGGGGAGAAGCCCTACGAGTGCTCAGAGTGTGGGAAGAGCTTCAGGCAGATCAATAATCTGAAACGCCACCTGATGATCCACACCGGGGAATGGCCCTACGAGTGTGGGGAGTGTGGGAAGGGCTTCAGCTGCAACTCTCACCTTGTCAGCCACCAACACATCCACACCGGGGAATGGCCCTACGAGTGTGGGGAATGTGGGAAGGGCTTCAGACAGAGCTCCAACCTCATCATCCACCAACGCATCCACACTGGGGAGAGGCCCTACGAGTGTCCTGAGTGCCAGAAGAGTTTTCAGACCAGCTCTGGTCTCCTCAGACACCAGCGGATTCACACGGATGAGAGGCCCTTCCGCTGCCCTGACTGCAGGAAGGGCTTCAAGCGCAACTCCACCCTCGTCACACACCAGCGCATCCACACCAGGGAGAAGCCCTACATGTGCCCCACTTGTGGGAAGACGTTTAACAGCAGCTCAAATCTCCTCCGGCATGAGCAGATTCACTCCGAGGAGAG